TAGAGTTCACAAATCAGCAACACAAGACTAATATCAACACGGCTCTAATCTGTTGATTATATGAACTAATTGATGACTTAAAAGGTTGGTAGAAGATCCTATATACAAAAAGAGCAGGAAAAATCAAATAGCAACAGAAAAAAGAGATAGAGGAAAATATCGAAAGAAGGTACCAAATGATTGATAGAAAACAAAGCAAGATGCTTGCAAGTCTTTTAGAAAAACTATTTAGAAAGATTCAGATAAATAAACTTCTGAAGAAAAAAAATAATCAGAAAGAACTAATTACTAATTTAGAAGAAGTTCTTAAAAAAACAAAAGAGCATTATCAAAAACAATTTAGACCTTGGTCTTTTGATCAAGAGCTATAGGAAAGGAATTGAAAAGAAATCTATAAGCTAAAAGAAGAGATTCAAGAAGAGTGATATAAGAATCTCGATTAAGATACATGCTTAGCGACTTAAAGAAAAATACTAACTTTGGAGTTACTAGAATTACCTATACATTAATTAAAGCAGCAAGTATATAAGCATATAGAATTTTTCGAACATTTGCAAAGTGCTGCATCCAAAATGAAAAGTTTTGCAAATATATCTAATTCTAAAAGATGCAGACTGACACTATAACTTAAACAATGTTAGGCCTATAGCGCTTTTAAAAATATTTAGAAAGTGTGTAACTAAAATAGTAGCTAGAAGACTATCACAAGTCCTAGGTGAAAATAATATCATGAAAGATTCAAATTTTGCAGAACTGCCTAGAAACTCAACAAAAGAGCCAGTGCAAATTTTAAATGTAATAATGGAAGATGCAGTAGACCATAAAAAAAGTTGTGGCTAGTATTTCAAGATATGAAAAAAGCTTTTGACTCAGTATTTTTAAAATCATTAGAGCTAGCAATGAAAAGACTTAAAATTCTACAAATAACTATTAGGTTTATTATAAACCTCTTTGTGAATAGGCAATTAAAATTATTATGGAGCTAAGTACAACACAATGCTTTGAAATAAATGATGGAATTGAGCAAGAGAAGGTGATCTTGCCTCTTATTTGGAGAATTTTTATGACCCATTGCTTGTAAGAATTAATAAAGATCCCAAATTAGAGTATATCGTAACTCAACAAATTTCTTTTAACTACAGTCTGAACCAGACAATATGTAAATAATGAACATAAGCAGTTATTGCCTATACTGATAACACATATGGATTGCAAAAAACAAAAACCAAATGGAGGAAATAATCCAAATTGCTGAAGAGTTCTTCAAGTTCAATGATATACAGATCAATAAAAAGAAATCTAAACTAATTGTCATCAATTTTGAAGAAAAAAGAGAAGATAGAAAAATCCTTTTTGGTGGCGAATGGCTGGTAGAAGAAGGAAGAAACAAGATCACAAGATTCTTAGGAGTTTGGCTTAACAACAAGTTAGACGAGTCACTAGTTAAAGCAAGAGCAAAGAAGATTGTACGCTCAATGTTCTGAATACTAAACCCAAAAAAATTAACAGTTGCACAAGCATCATACATAAACAATATATGTATAGTTCCAAAACTGTGCTATATACTACAAGTCTCCAAGTTCACAAAAAAGACAATTAATGATCTATAGACACCAATATTAGTTTTAACAAAACATAGAATGGAGCTAGCAAGAATTATAAACAACAGTACAATTCTATATAAAAGTATTAGAAGCTGCAACTCACTATAGAATCGACTTCTAACAAAGCAAGTTTTCAGCCTACACTTACGACTAGAGATGCAAACATTTAAAATCTTGAGGGTAGCTACCCTTAACACAACTATCATGGCATGTGGCACATTTGCTATATAAGCAAAAGTGCTGTATACTGTATAAGTATATTATGCTGTATAAGTGCAGTATACTATAAAAGTACTGTATGTAGTAGTATAAGTACTATATATAGTATATTATACAAGCAAAATACTATATATACGTAGAGTATAATTGCTAAAGAATTTCAGAAACTTGCTTAGTCTAATACTGATCTGGTTCTAAAAAAAAAAAAAACTAAAAAACATTTTATTTTAACTTAAATTTAAAATTCTGAAGCTTCACAAATGAGGTTATATAGAAAATAGCAACAGTATTTAAAAGGTTTCTAAATACTACTCTTTGTTATACAGTAAGGAAAGATATATTATATTTCTTATTTTAGGTTAATTGCAAAGATCTTATTTGAGATTTAGAATAAAGTTTATTATATAATGAACGATGTATATACATACAAATATGTCTAAATAAATTACATTTGGGTTCTTTTACAGAAAAACTGTGCTTTAAGTATATAGCTCTAAGCATAGTTTTGCTATAAAAGAACCTATTTGTCTCGCATACGTACGTATATAGGCATAGCAGGCTTTAATTCTGATTGGTCAATTACTATATATATTATACTGCATATCTTATCTAATTGTAGCCATAAAACGAATTGTTAAAGAATAAATTCTGAAGCTATACCTTTTATTTTATCTATACTAAAATAATCTAGAGAATGTAGAAATAATCCAGAAGTTAGTAATGATTTGCACTTTTTGTCTTATAAGTTAAGATAAATCAGTAATAAGCAAGATAATTTGTATCTTGATTAATAAGTATTATGTTTTTATTAAAAAAAAACTTGAAAATATTGATTAAAGAAACAATACTTATAGTTAGTTTCTTTATTTTTTTTGGAATATAGGTTATTTAGTCAAGTTTTTAAAAGATACAATATGTTAAATATAGTATATTCATAGAATATATACTATATTCTATAGTTGGTGTTTGGTTTTTACACAGTTTATACTATTTTTTTATTTTATTTTTATATTTGGCAGTTCTGCTTCATGCTTTATTGGAAGTATTAGAAGATCAATATTAACAGGAAATATAATTTTCTATACTATAATCTTATTGCACGAAGAGACTCACTCGGCACTAAAGCCTAGGTGTGACTTGCCTAGCAGCATTATGCTTCGCATTGGATCCTCAACTATCTGAAGATTTGATCTTAATGATTATTAGCTGAAGTAGCTGCATACTTCACTAAGAAGCCCAAAAAGAAAACAGATAGACAAAAAAATACAGAGGTATAGGTGATAATGATAAAAGATACAAGTAAGAAAATAAAGAAGAAAGGAAATATCGAAACAAAAACAAAAAGAATAACTATCCTAATGTCATATTTATAGGCCCATAAAAGGCCTTAAAAATTATATACTATACTAAATAAATTATATCCCTACTTTAAATTTATCTATTTAATATATCTAAGTTTAAAACACTATTAGATAAACACTTCTTCGACTGGATTAGATAGAGAGGTCAGTACTTGAATCAGATTAGTCTTAGAGCATTGTTTGATCAGCGTTTACATTCAAGATATGTGCTTTGACATGTTTGTTGTCCTGTTATACCAATTTAGAAAATAAACAATGCCAACTGTTTTGGTGCATATGATGTCAATCTTTTGGAGGGGGATAAACTAAATCGCCCACTTTTTACAAAAATTTTCTCGAAAAAAGTGGTGGGTCAACAATAGTATGTGAGGTTCTTCGTATAAGTTTTATAATTGTATAGTCCAGTTCCTCAGTTTCCACTAGATATTCTTGACCAGGAACCTACAGGAATATTGCTTCTAGAATAACCCTTCTGATTTGGATGCCAAAAGTGCAAGGGAGTCCACTAAAAAGCTTGACTCAGAGGCACAACCTGCTCTTTATTATACATCTGCTTTTTGGTGTTTCATGTATATAATAGCTTTGTCAACAGCAAGTTTGTTTGTATGGACCAAAAGTATCGTTGTATCTACTTTGTTGCTTTCCTATAGCATTTTTCTGTAGTTTGGTTTATTTTGTTGTTGATCAAGGGATTGTCGGAAAGAGTTTTAGACAGTTTATACTATTTATATATGTGTATTACTCTTATCGATAGTTAAAGGCTTTTTTTAATTCTATATTATTCATTTTTTATCTTGTTATTAAATTATTATGTACTATAGTTAGTAAATGATTAGTTAATAAAGTTTATATATATATACTTAAAAAATTTATTTAAGCTTAACTAGATACATATTTAACAACAACTATGAGAATCAATGTTATAGAACAATTTTTATATGATTGGTTATTTATCGCAGTTTTCAAAATAGTTGATATTAAAATATTTTGTATACACACTGTATACTGATATAAAATCATTTAATTTTAAAAATTTTTTTGTATACTTTAAATATATTAGTTATATATAAAGTATACAAAAAATTTTTAAAGTTAGATAATTCTATATCAGTATATAGTGAGTATACAAAATATTTTAATATCAACCATTTTGAAAACTACAATAAATCAATTTAGATTTACATTATTATACAGTTTAAAGTACTTTTTTAAAAAAAAATAAAACTACAAAAAATGAATAAAAAATGTTTATAAAAAGTTTAATTAGGGTTGTAAAACTCTATTAGTAAAAATGATCAAAAAAATCTCTCTTTGCCTTAGTGAAGTTAGTATTATAACAACTTTTTAAAAATAGATTGAACTAGATTATTACTATACCAACTTCTCTAAAACAAAAAAAGATTTTGATCATTTTCAATAGTGGAGTCCTACAACATATTTATTCCTTGAACTGTATAAATAATGTAAGATTAAATTGATTTAAACAACCAATTATATGAACATCATCCTATAAGAGTTAATGTATTAAAAATTGTATTTATAGTTAAAATATCTTTTGTCAAAAAGCTTTTAAATTTTTTTAACTTCGAACTCATTTTTAATTAGCCAATCAGATTTTGTAATATTACCAAATAATCTATAAAAATTAATCAATTAAAATAAAAACCTGCTCTGCTACGTATATACTACCTACAGCACATGCATAATTACTAATCACAGCATAGTAAACCTATTATGACATACTACTTTTTTACAGCACACTACCCTATTGCTACATACGGCATAACGGCAATATGATCTAAAGGTAGTGCAACCTTCACGTCATAGTCGTAATGCTATAGGTAGTAACTACCCTAATAAATATTTGTATTATTACTTACGACTAAATACAGCAAATCCTAAAGAAATACTAACTTCACTAAGACTAAGTCAAGATATTCAACTGCTAGGTACAGCCAAAAATATCTGGTTCGAAGAGCTGCCTGAGACCTGTACATGTCTTTGGAAAAACAAATTGGTCTGCTTAACAATGTTAAAGGCCAGAGAGCTGAAAGTTACATTCAAGTTCAATAATGCAGAATTAGAAACAGAAAACCAAAATTTAGACTAGCAAATATTTTAGAGAAGAATTTTACTCCACTAGTGGCAACAATGCTCAGGAAACTTAATATAATTTCACTTAAACAACTACTAACACAGTCAGGAAATCATATAATAATATGACAGCAACTGAAGATGCTAAAAAATAGATTAAGCAGAGAAAAAAGTGCGAAATAGTTTCATACAATTAAAGAAATAGTAATTGAAGATAAAGAAAGCAGATTGGTTAAGTCAGAGTATAGACTAGATGGCCTCAGTGCTTGAGCACTGCAGATTATACCAGACCCATTAAAGGTGGACAGGAAGAAAAAAGAGTAGATATTGGTCAAAGCTAAAGAAGCAAAAGAAAACTAATATCTAGAAATTAGATGAACTCTCAACAAACTGGGAAAAAGAATCCTTATAGAACACTAAAAAGTAAATGAAGAGCCAGTTATGAGAAGTATAAGACTTGAAAGATACAAAAGTTGTAAACTAGATTAAAAAAAGAAGAAAACTTCTGCAGAAGCTGAATAAACAAAGAAAAAATTTAAAGCTCAATAACCAAAATCATAAACAAACAGAAAGGGAAGGCCCTTAAAGTTCATCACAAAATGCTGTTTTTTCTAATAACTTCAGAAGCAGATAAAATGAGAGCAAGCTGGATACTAATAGATGAAGAGAAGAAGGAAGTCATCAATGAAAGATATCTTAAAGCAAAAAACTGGCCATCTTCAACTAAAGTAGAGCTACTGGGAATATGGTGTACACTCTTAGTCACACCAAGAAAAAAGAAAATAAAAATCTATACAAATAGTGCAGTAACTTTAGCTAGATTGGAAAGTAGAAATTAGAATAAGCCAGCTAGACAAAGACTAAGAATAGAGAATTATGATTTAGTAAAATATATTATAGATATAGCAAAAATAAAGAAATTACAGTTAGAATTAGAAAAAATAAAAGGATATAGTAAAAATAAATAGAACGATATAGCAGATAAATTGGCAAAAATAAGATCTAGAATAGTAAATAGAGAAAAAATTATAGATAAATCCTTACAAGAATCAAATATTTCTTTATGCTGGAAAGAAACAATAATAGAAGCTTCTACAAGAGAATTTTTACAACTAATATTTAAGCTCAAAACAGTGATAGAATGGAAATTCACATCAGCAATTACGAAAATAGAATCCGATAATGATAGACAATCCCAATATTGGCCTATTGTATAGAAAAAGATTAAAAATCAAAATGGAGTTAGATATACAAGCGCAAAAAAGAATATCATTTGAGAGTGCTAGTCAAATACTTATATGAGAAACTCCCAGTTCTTAAAACCTTGGCGACTAGAAGATCTAATCTATATAATAGCCCAATATATAAATTATATGCAAGAAAAAAAGAAGAAGATCAAAAACATTTAACTTCATGTGAGAAATATGAAACTAAATGGATAGAAGCAGAGCAGCTAGCATCAAACTTGGTTTGAACAGCTTTTTCAGAAGAATCCTGCAGTCGTTTTGATAAGGCTTAACTTAAAAGCTCTCTTTGGGGTTCAACAAAAGAAGAAAAGAATAAAACAAGAGCTGGTATTCTTAAAAGATTGATTAAAGATGGAATCGCAAAGAAAATTTTTGAATTAGTAAGAACTCTAAAAGAAGCCAGAAGCTATCTCGACACAGTGGTCAACTCAGTCTGGAAATACTTTTACAAAAACATCTGGAAACAAAGATGCATATTCCTTAACGACTAAAAAAAGAAAACCGAAATAAACTCAAAAGATAAAAAAACAGCTACTAGCAGAAAGAAGTCAGATGTAAATCATGGAGAATATAGTCAGAGCCAAGAGCAAACCAAGGGGAAAGTTAAAAAGAAAGAAAAAATTAGTAAAGAGGAGGAAGTGACAGGAAAGGAAGTACTTGATTTGTTGTGATTAAAGACTTAATTATAAATAATGTGAAGCTATTTTGGTATAGCTTCAATGGCTAGCTTAGTGCAGCCTTTTGGTATAAGCAATAGCCTTAACTGGTAAAGCAGACCGTCCTTGGGCACCAATAAAGGTAGCCAAGGAATATTGGATCTATTATTTCAATAGTTAAATATATATATATATATGCTTTGATTTAATAAAGATACCATATAGGTCTGAATATAAGCAACCCCCGAAAATAAGCAATACCTTGCATTTAGAAATCAAAATACTAGAAAAATAAAATAAGCAACCCCTTTTAAAATTGCAAAAACTATATATGATAAAATTTATTATACTAGTATATAAATTTTATTACATATTACAAAAAAACTATCTTTAATCTTCTAACTCTAATTCTTCAGCAGATAAACTATCCTCCTCAACTATCTCAATTAAATCGTCATTATCATTTACTTCATTATGATCAGTATCCGAATCATATAATAAATCATCCTTAGTACCATCTAATTTATTAGAAATATCACATTTTTTAAATGATTTAATAATCATTTCTACAGAAATGTCATTCCATGTTTCTAAAATCCACTGACAAATTAAACTGTATGATGGTTTTTTTAAATTTCCATTCTTGGTTAATTGAAATTCACCATTGCACATCCATAATCGCCACTTTTCTCTTAGCCTATCTTTAAATGGTTTATTAATACACACATCTAAAGGTTGTACAATTGACGTTAAACCCCCTAGAATAATTGCTTTGTGGATATTATTAACTTGACATTTTTGATATACCATTTGGGTTTTGTGTCCTTCAAATAAATCCATTACGAGCAAAGATAAAGGTTTGTTTGTTCTTGATACACCAGGTCACTTGTTTAAAACTTGGTCTATCCATTCACACATTAAGTTTTCATCTATCCAAGCTTTTTGATGCATACGTACAATAATTCCATTAGGAAGATTGGGAGAAATTCGTACACCTTTAAAAATTATCATCGGTGGGAACTTGTAACCACTTGCTGTAATTGCTAGAACACAAGTAAACCGGTTTTTATCATTACCAGTTGTTTTAATTTGAACGGTTTTAGCACCCTTTGCATTAATTGTATAAGAACCTGCTATTTTAAAATAAACTGGCATTTCATCCATATTAATAATTTGAGTAAGATCATACTGATATTCTAATCGAGATTTAATTATAAATTTATGAAATTCAAGGACTTTTTTAGTAAGATCTTCAGGTAGCTTCTGACTAATTTTGGTACGATGGCGGAATGAAAGTTGATGTCGGTTTAAAAACTGATAAAACCAAGATTTTGATACACAAAATTGTTTGGCAGCATCCGGATATTTGTTTGCACAAGTTGTTGAAAGAATATTGACCATTTGCATTTTGATAGCAGCTGCTGTTACAGCAATTCCTGTTTGGTGAAGATCATTCAACCATTTAACAAGTTCTTTTTCAGCAGCTGGATAAAATGAAACTCTTCTAGCACCTATACGTCGGTTACTTGCTGAAGTATTAATATATTTCTCTTTATTACATATCCATTGTGATATCATTGACTGGTCAATACCAAAGTGACGCGCTGCAGCCAAAACACCGATTTTTTCTGCTTCTTGAATAACGGTAAGTTTTTCAGATGCTTTATATGAAGTTCTTTGAACACGATTTCTAACTTTAACTGCCTTATTACCCTTATTGGAACCGATAATAGTATTCATTTTTTTGTTTGTTCTTTGTTTTTTGTTTGTTTTTTTCTTTTACATTAATAAAGATTTCAGCAAACTATTCGACACGAAAAAGTATAAATCCTGATTTCTTTATTATAAAGAAATCTGTATGAAATGTAGTGTAATATATATAACACTAATACACTAATGTATATCATTTTGGAAGTATAACGATTATAAATCGATTATAAGTTTGATTTTTTTTTTTTTAAAAAAAAAAATTCTTATACGTAGACAACATATTATTTATATTTAAGATAAGTAACACCTAAATTTATTATGTCAGTAAATATTTTAATTCAGTATAAAATATTAAAATTTTTTCTTGTAATTTTAGTATAAAGTTCACATACTACGTATTATAGCAGTTTAAAGTATCGGTAAGTATTGATAATTGGCTAAGTTGTAATAACTCTAGGTATATAGTAAGTAGTAAGTGCTAGGCGTAAATACTTCTAAGAAAATAGTAAATTCTCAACAATAAGTAGTTCTGAATGGTAAATTTTTAGAAATGAATAAATATCGAAATTAGTAAATAGCAGTAGACAATAAAGCTAAATACTGGTAGTAGGCAGTTTATAAAGCTAGCCATGTAAAATTCAAATACTTAATAGTAAAATAAAGATGTTTTGAATTCTATTACTTACTTATTATAATCATTTTTTTTGATAACGGATTGATAAATCTTTTCAAAAATTCATTATACAGTGTTTTATGTACCGAACTTATAATAAATTTGAGATTATTCATTCTTTTCACTTTAATTCCATATCGATAACAAAAACCAACATAATTTATTCCATCAGCATAACTGATATGACCCAGATTTGTGGGTTTAAAAGTATCGGTATTCAAAGTGCTTTTTTTTTAAAAAAAATTAGTAGTGTTATGAAGGTTTATTTGCGTATTCTCTACTGTAAGTTTGCTAGTCATTTATAAGTAAAATAAATGGGCCAATAGAAATCAAGTATTTTAAAAATTACCGAATTTAAGCAACCTCCTAAAAAATTTGGCTAAAACGGGTGGCTTAGAGGGTTGCTTATATTCGGACCTATACGGTACCAGTGAGACTGCTGATATAAAAATAATAATAATAATAATAAATAAATAAATAAAAATAAATAAATAAATAAATAATTAATTAATTAACAAATAAATTATTAGTTAATAATGTAAAGTTCTGTTTCATGAGTCTGAATCTCGTACTTTAGTGATTAAGCTCTCAAACCCCATAGACAAGATTAATGGTTCAAGTCGGGCTGGAGACAAATTATTTAATTTGTTTCTGTAACCTTAGGAGGCTATAATTAAATGCAAAGCCCTGTGGCTAAGTTCAAGTGCAAGTATAATTTTGAACTGTGAATTTCTGGAAGGAGACCCAATATAGAGGGTAAGCACTATATATAACTGTGATATTACAGAAGACTGCAGCTATAAAGATTGCACAAGTAAGTTCTTCGAGACAAGCAGCACCAACATCCTTGTATCTTCAGTTTAAGCAATACCAACATCCTTACATCCAACTTGTGAAGTACTTGCTTGGAAGGGTAGTCAATGAACTGCGTGAATTAGTCCTTATTTGGATTGAAGATACAGATACTTGATTAGAAGGGTAATTATCATTACCAAAGTTGGAATAGTAAGAAAAGTGATAAACATATAAACAGACTGTAATAAAATATTGGCCTTATCAGAAGCAGAAGCACCTCTGGCAATGCAGAATGAAAATATTATAGAAGGCAAGAATATGAAGGTTGTCTAATATTCTGAATATATATAAAAGTACTGAATTGAGCTCCAGTTATACCTATATGAAAATCTATAATAAACAAGTTTAGGATCTACCAACCTCTGGGGTTTACAATTCAAATAGTAATACAGCATCACTGAGGTTGGTGTAACTCTAGATATAACTAAAATTGTTCTGGTCTTGTATGATAACATGCTGAGAGCAAATATAATATAGTAGTATAATATTACTGAAATCAGTATAACTCTCTAGATACAACCAAAATTGTTCTGTATATCTGTGAAATAAGTCCTAAACCCCACTATAGCAGGTAGTACTTCATAGGAGGAAGTTCGTCTGATTGGCTAGTGTAAATCAATTGCCCGGGTAACTAATTTATATGTTTTAAAGTACTTTT